GTCCCTCCCGCCCCCGCGCCCGCCCTCCCTGTCCTGATCCGCTCTCCCCTTTCAGAAGTTGCCGATGGCACTGCGGTGGACATCTTCTCTTTTGGGATGTGTGCGCTGGAGGTACTAACCCCGTGGTCTCTGGGCCCCTCCCAGCTAACTCCCCCCGTCCCACCTGTGCCGTCCCTTCCCCATGCCTGACCTTGCCCTGCCCCCCAGATGGCTGTGCTGGAGATCCAGGCCAATGGGGACACCCGGGTCACAGAGGAGGCCATCGCTCGCGCCAGGCGTTCTCTGAGTGACCCCAACATGCGGGTAAGCAGCTGGCCCTGCCCCTACCGGCTGGCTCTCAGTGTTCCAAGGAGGGCCTTACTGGGCGTGCATGTTGAGTTGCAGACGTGAGGGCTCTGAGGGCGCGGTCTAAGCACAGAGAGACTGGAGACATACTTCCCGTGTGGGCACAATTTTTATGCCCGTTTTGTAGATAAAGGAACAGGTTCAGAGAGGCTTTAGAGCGAGCGGCGGAGCTGGTGTTTGCATCCCCGTCTGCCTGATTCCACATCCCCGCCTGTAAGCCTTCAGGAGACCAGTTAGGAAGGACATGGTCCTAGCCTGTGTTGGGGGCAAGATGGGTGGGGAGCCGGCAAAGGGCATGTGCGGACGGACAGGAGCTGCAGCCACAGCCTCTCCGGCCAGAGTCTGTCGACTGTCTGGCTTCACCACGTGACCTCTGGGGATGGGGGAGGGAAGTGACGGGGCCTGGACAGGACTGACGAGGAGGTGGAGCCAGGATGGACCCGAGAGCCAGTGGAGGGCACGGATGTGGGGCAGGGCAGGGACACTTCAAGGTCATCTCCGGAATTGGACCTGACCTGAGGCAACCGTAAGGGGGGCAGGCTGTAGGTAGGCGGGCTCAGGCTAGGCTGCACTGGCCCCGAGGGCCTGCGCTGGTCTTTCAGCACTCTGCCCAGCGCCAGGGCCGCGGGGCGGGGGCTGGGGTCCTCCCTGAGCAGCGCAGCTTTACCTGTGAACCGGGGATGACAGTGCCAACCCACCACGGTGGTTTTCGTGAGGGGTGCTGGAAGCAGAGCACGGGGGGCAGTTCTGGGCCCAGGGGCAGACTCGACTGTCCTGTTTGAAGAATCAGGTCCTGGCCTGGCTGCTAACGGGATGCCTCTACCCCGTGCACGTTGCCCCATGAAGGCTCCCACGGGGTTGGGAGCCTTCTCCTCACACGGTGGGGCCAGAGTGGAGGGGCTCCACCGACTGCAGCGCCCTCTCCACACCCCAGGAGTTCATCCTCTCCTGCCTGGCCCGGGACCCTGCCCGCCGGCCCTCCGCTCACAGCCTCCTCTTCCACCGTGTGCTGTTTGAGGTGCACTCGCTGAAGCTCCTGGCCGCTCACTGTTTCATCCAGCACCAGTGTGAGGGGCGGGCCAGCCTGGGGGCGGGCCGGGGCCTGGGGTCGGGATGCAGAAGGAGGCCCCGCAGGACCTCCTGCTTCAGGGCCCACTGCCCTGTGTGCTCCCACGGCCCGCAGACCTCATGCCTGAGAACGTGGTGGAGGAAAAGACCAAGGCGACGGACCTGCACACGGTCCTGGCAGAGATTCCCCGGCCACCCCGGCCCCCGTTGCAGTGGCGGTGAGCGGCCTGCAGCCCAGAGGCCTCCCCTCCCCTCCCAGCCACGCCCCCCCAGCCCTGCCCCCCCCCCCCCCACCCCCAGCAGGACCGCCACCCTCCCGTTCTCCTCACTCCCATACCAGGTACTCAGAGGTCTCCTGCTTGGAGCTTGACAAGTTCTTGGAGGATGTCAGGTGAGGGCTGGAGTGAGGCTGGGGAGTGGGCAACTGTCAGGCCTGAGCCCTCAGCTGCCACCACCCCGCACTGTGTCCCTAGAAATGGGATCTACCCACTGATGAACTTCGCTGCTGCTCGGCCCCTGGGGCTGCCCCGTGTGCTGGCCCCACCCCCCGAGGAAGCCCCAAAGGCCAAGACCCCGACGCCAGAACCCTTTGACTCAGAGACCAGAAAGGTAAGACTCCAGCCTCCACAGGCCTGCCCACCGCCCAGACGGGTGCCCGTATCAGGGGTTTCAAGTCCCCCAGCCCGGCTCTGCTCCAGGCTGCCAGGAGAGACCAGGTTCTGCTGACCTCTCTGTGGGGCTTGGGGGGCAGTCGTACAAGCTGGGATACCCGCTTTCCCAGAGGCTCCAGGGGAAGACCCCTGCAGGCCCCTGTCCCATACACGCTGCCTCTCGGATCCCACCTCCTTGGCTTGCTGATTCGCTGACATCTGTGACCTGGTGTTTCTGCCAAGGCCCCCAGAAGGGGCCCCCGTCCCCTTCTCCTGCTAGGCTCCCCCCTGGCCAGGGGCCACCCCGGCCACCCTCTCCCTTTCCTTGTCCACACCCACTGGGCTCCAGAGCCTCTGGCTTTGGCCTTGGGTGTGTCTCCATGGTTACCTCCCTGATCTGGGCCCCCTCTGTTCCCCACTGGGATGCTGCACCAGCCCCCAGCCTGGCCGCCTTCCCCGGCTTTCCAGCCAGAATTCATGTTCTAATAGCCACAGCTGGGGGTCCTCAGCGCACGCCCCCAACCCCCCCACCCCACCCCTGGCCCAGCACTCTGAGGCTTGGTTTTGCTGGCATCCTGTGCTTCTGCTGTCATATCCCTGCGCACCTCGCTCCTCCCCCACCCCTTCCCACAGCGCTCTCTTTGTTCAGGTGTTCTCTTCACCTGTGAAAACTCCTATTCATCCTTCGGTACCCAGCTTCAATATCTACTCTGGAAGTTTCCCTCAACTCGCCAGGCTCCTAGCAGTGAGATGCGCTTCCTAGTCTCCCCTTGGAGACCTTCCTCATTTCCGGTCTTTACGACCGACCCCTTTGTGTCTGGGCCCCTTTGACGCAGCATCCGCTCTCCCTGCCCAGTTGCTGAGTTCCAGCCTTCGTGGGTGACCTTGGCCTCCCCCTTCCCCCAGGTGATCCAGATGCAGTGTAACCTGGAGAGAGGCGAGGACCAGGCGCGCTGGCATGTGAGGGGGGGCCACCGCCCACAGAGGCGCGGGAGCGCGGGAGGGGGGCGGGGCCGACTCCCGAGCCCATCTCGCCCTCCCGCCTCCCCAGCTGACTCTGCTCCTGGTGCTGGAGGACAGGCTGCACCGGCAGCTCACCTACGACCTGCTCCCAAGTAGGCCGCCGGGCGGGACCCCGGGCGGTGGCGGTGGGGGGGGTGGGCACGGCGGGCGGCGCTGCGGCCTCACGCCCGGTCCTCACGCCCCTGCCGCAGCCGACAGTGCCCAGGACCTGGCTGCCGAGCTGGTGCACTATGGCTTCGTCCACGAGGTGAGGTGCGCAGCCTGGTACGGCCAGCCTGGGAGGGCCGCAGGGTGGGCCGCGCCCCACCATCCCCCATGCCTCCCTCCTGCAGGACGATCGGCCGAAGCTGGCCGCCTTCCTGGACAGCACCTTCCTCAAGTACCGCGGAGCTCAGCCGTGACCTTGATCCCGCCTCAGCGCTCCAGCTCCCCAGCCCCCCGGAACCAGACCTGGTGGCTCCCGTGGGGAAGCTTGGCATTGGCCCCGGCGTCTGGGTGGGGGACCAGGGGCCCCCTCTGCCTGTGTGCCTGCTAGTGAGGAACCTCCCCCTTCCACAGCTCCCAGCAACCTTGCAGTGGGGCTGAGGGTGGTGGGGTCAGGCCTGTCAGGGGTGAGGGAGCCGGGGCTGGGGCTGGGGCTGGGGCGCTGGTTAGGCCCCGCATGTCCTTAGGATCAGGATCCCCCCATCGGCCAGCTTCCACAACTCAGCATCCCTCCTGTACCCTTCATTTCCACCCCTGACGCCGTCTGGTCATGAGAGGCTGCCCTGCAGGGAAACACGGCACAGTGCTGGGGGGCTGAGGGGTGAGGGTCGGCCCTGGACAGATGTGTGCCCAGGGAAGCGCTCCATTCCAAGTTGCTACCGCAGAGCCACACGAGGAACCGGAATTGCCGCCTTAAGCCCATGGTAAATCACCCGCAGGCGTCAGGCGTGGTGCTGGGCACTGGGCGGGGCCACGGCCCTGCAGCTCCATGTGGCCCTCACACCCCGCCTCCGGCCAGTGCAGACCCTCCAAAGGGCTATTTTCTGTCCTTGTTCCCTGGCCTCGAGTGGTTGGGGTCAGGCACCCTCCCTGCTCCTCCCAAGCTCACGGCTCCTCCTGCTAGCTCTCTTACCTCCGCCTGTGGCAGGCAGCTGCCTTCCTGGGTCCTAAGGCTACCAGCCCCAGCTCCCTGTCTCCCGCACCCCTACCCCCCATAACCCTAGCCTCCATTCACATGGACCACCTCCCTTCATTTTCCAGTGTAGTTGGTCACTCTTAAAGATTTTAAACTGCATGTATAAATTGAGCACATTCAGGTTTCTAAGCATTTCAAATGTCAAACAAGAAAAGCTCACCACCGTGTTAGTTCTCTGTTGCTGCCGTCAGGGTTTACCGCAAACTCAGTGGCTTAAACCAGCACACTTAGGTGGTTCTGTAGCTCAGAAGTCTGGCACAGATCCCGCCAGACTAAAATCAAGGTGTTAAGAAGACTGTGCGTCTTTCTGGAGGTTCTAGGGCAGAACCCATTTCCTGCTCCTTGAGGTTCCTGGCCTGCAGGTGCCGGGCGCGGCGCTGGGCACAGGGCAGGGATTCATTTCCTCACAGTGATGGGGCCGAGGTCCCCACTTCCTTGCCTGCTGTAAACTGAAGGCCACTCTTAGCTTCTAGAGCCAGCCACCTGCCTTGGCTCACAGCCCCGTCCTCCGTCTTCAAAGTCGGAAACATCGGGTGGAGTCTGTCTCATGAAACTGTGTGTCTGGTTTTCTGCAGCCAGGAAAGCTTCGTGTGGCTAGGTTGGGTCCACCCGGATACTCCAGGATGATGTCCTCATCTCAAGGTCCTTAATCTTAATCACATGTGCAAAATACCTTTCACCAAGTAAAGTAATATTCACAGGTTCTGGGGGTTGGGACACGGACATCCTTGCAAGGGGCAGGGGCGGGTGTCATTATCCCAGCTACCACATCACCCTAGCCAAAACCCTAAACCAAAAACACCTTACCGAGATGTATCAAATGAAGTATATGCACCAATACGGTGAATCTCAAGTTATCTTAAACATTCCAATACTCTTTACAAAATTATTCAAGTTCTCACACCTTTCAATTTAAAATTACAATCTAAAATAACTTACACATCTAGTTGGAAACGCTGATGCTGTCTGATTCTGCGTCATCTTAAAACAGTTTGAGTGTCCAATGCATAACATTGTACCAGTGGTTAAACTGAAGTCAAAAGGGTCAATATTATCATTGCTTCGTTTAATGCCTATGTTGATGTTTTCATTTTAACTTTTATCTTTTCAAAGTTATATACACATTATTTTAAAAGTGGAATTTCCTTAGGCCAATAATAAATAAATAATAAATACTGTCTCTAACCCTGACCCTTTCCAAATTCAACTCTCTTAGCTGTTTCTTCAGGCATTTAAAATGCATGTTTCACAAAATCGCATGCGTGCTTTTTAGTTTTTTTTTAATTGGTTTTTAACATCACATGTCACCTGCTGGTGTCCTCTGGGGGGGAGGGGATCATTGGCCTCAACCCCCTGACCCAGCGTCATCCCAGTGTGATGGGTGGTATTACCGCTTCATTCCCACAGGTCTCAGCACAGAACAAGGTGCCCTAGGATTATATTTGCTTTCTTGCACAACTTTTTGTTTCCCCTGGAGTTAATCATTGCCTTTGTGGGGGCTTAGTTTTCTACACATCTCATTAATTCCCCCCTAGAGATTCCTAGATTCTCCCTAGATTCTCCCGCAGAAGTGTGAACCTACTCTCAGTCCTCAGATTTGTTGCACAGCTGGCTGCTGCGTCATCTTTTCCTGGAGCCCCCAGCCTGCTCACTCTGTGCCCCAGGCTACTCGTTCTTGGGTTTGTGACCCAGCTGTCGGCATGGGCTGCGCCTTCACCGGCACCTCCCTCCTCTTGTCTCTGGAACCCATGCTTTCTTCGTCCTTCATTCACCCTCTGAGGAGGAACGTCCTGAGCGAGGATGTGTGGAGAGTCACGGAGTCGTTCCTGTTTGCCCTCGCTACTCTCTCATCTGCTTGTTCGTGCAGCTAGGGACAGCGTTGGGCTGGTGGAAGATCACTTCTTGCCAGGACTTTGAGGGTATCCTGTCATTTTCTTCCAGCCCCAAGGACTCCCATGCCTGTCTGAGTCCTGACCCTTTGTGATTTCTTCTCTCTCTGGATCTTCTCTTTACCCAAGTGCTCTGGAGATTCTCAACGATGTGTCCTGATGTAGACCTTCTCTTTCTTTTATTTTATTATCTTTATTGAAGTATAGTTGATTTACAATGTTGTGTTAATTTCTGCTGTCCAGCAAAGTGATTCAGTTACATACACACACACACACACACACACACACACACACACACACACATACACACACACACACACACACATCCTTTTTTTAAATATTATTTTCCATTATGGTTTACCATAGGATATTGAATATAGTTCTCCATGCTATACAGTAGGACCTTGTCGTTTTGTTTTTAAAATATTTATTCATTTATTTATTTGGCTGCACCAGGTGTTAGCTGCAGCTTGAGGGCCCCTTACTTGTGGCATGCGAACTCTTAGTTGCAGCATGCATGCGGGCTCTAGCTCCCTGACCAGGGATCGAACCTGGGCCCCCTGCACTGGGAGTGCAGAACCTTACCCAATGTGCCACCAGGGAAGTCCCTGGACCTTGTTATGACCTCTTTCATCTATTGTCCAGAGATCCCAACCCTTCAGTTCTAGGAAGTTTTCTTTGCTTTTCTGGTGATTTCTCCCCTCTCCTTTTCTGGAATGCTTACTTAGATGTTGGACTTATTTTTTGACAGGTGCAATATGTGCTGGTTAAGGGCATAGGCTCTGGAGCCATTCTGCTGCTTCCTGCTGTGTGACAGTGGTCTGTGACTCCACTTTCTCACCTGTAAAGATGGGGGTAATAATGGTCCACGCTTCATGGGGTGGTTGTGAGATCGCACAAGTTAATTGTGAAAAGTAACGAGAACAGTGCCCAGCACACAAGCGCTCTGAATGCAGCAATGCCAGATTTTCACAGGGGAAGCTGCCACCAGGGGGTGGTGCTTTTGCCCCCCACAATGGTGGTGGCAAGTCCCAGCCCATCCACCCCTTTATCCACCCCTGTGTTATGGAGGCCTCTAAGGCGCCCGGCCAGCTCTAGCACTGGGGAGCGCTGACAAGTGTGACAATGACTCCATTGTCTGCTTTCCAGCTATATGGTTTTGTTGTTGTCATACGTTCTGGAAAATTACAGCTTTATCTCTCAACCTTTCTGTTTAACTGTTCGTTTTCCTCTCATGCTTTCCATTTATAAGTGCTCTTTCTCGTTTGCTGAATGTTCTTTCTTTATAGCCTCTTGTTCATGTTTTCGGATGCAACAGCCTGTCTAATATCTCTGAGGATACGGTTTTAGCTTTCCTTTTTTCCTCCTTCTGCTCACTTTATTGGCTGTGTTCCTTCTGAGTCCCTTTTCCTTTTGCTTTTTTGTTTTTTCCTCTCTTTCAGCTGTCTGGTGACCCTGGGTTGCCCAGTTGCATTTAATCTTAGTGGCTGGGGCTTATTGCCTGGTGAGCTTTGAGATCAAGGATCGGGCCAGGCCATTCTGACCACCTCCCAACTGCCAGGCTTTTCTTCTGTGTTGGGAGCTACTGCAGAGATCAGCTCTTCTCTCTGAGGATTGTGGGTGCCACATGCTTGGGGCCGGACTCGGAGCCAGGGGTGGAGGTGGCAAAAAGGCGGGAATCTCACGTATTCCCCCACTTTCAGAACAGGACCCTGCCCCCGATGGCCAACCCAACCGAGAGAGCGCCTCTGCTGGAGCTTGCCTCCCAGCCACTGCCGGTAGGGGCTGAGCCCTGGAGTCTCTTCCTTTTCACAGTTGCACTTGCGTGAACGATCTCCTGGACCCCGACCTCCAAGATGCGAAAGCAGCTGCCGCTGTCCACCTTTCTTCAGCTCCACAACATTCCACCCCTTTGGCTTCATGGGTTGCTTCCTTTATAAAATCCTTTTCCTATCATTTTAGAGGGAAGGGAGATGAGGCAAATACTGTTGGGTTTAACCAGGGGTGTCTGTATTTCATGTCAAACTCTCCCAGGATGGAGAAGAGACCTGCCTAGTTGGGGAAGACACCTTGCTGCCTCAGGCAGGCTGAAGTTGCTAAGCTGACAACTTCAGGGCCTGAGCCTCACTGAGTGAGGGTCTTGGGACTGGGTGGGCATGCAGCAAACGTCCAGGGCAGTTCAACACCAGGGATGGACACCTGGAGCCTTTAAAAAACAGTTCAGAACTAAGGGGACTCTGAGTGCATACCCTTCCCACGGGATTGGTTCAGAAGCCTGTCTCTTGGGTTGCAGTTCTACCCACTGTATGTCAGTGACTCTACGACGCCATCA